GCTGCTCCCAATTTAGATTCTGTTGATTCTGTGACTCTATGCAGGAGATGAAAATTCCAGCTACAGGATGCTGTCAAGACAAGTTCTGAAGCATGTGAACAGTTTCTGGACATCATGCCAAGGCTCTGTGCAAATACCAATGAGGAAATTAGGCATTTTGAATTCACGGTAGAATGTGCATAATGTACATTAAATCAGGGCCTGGAACCATTCTCCGAATGAGACAGTTGCGCAATTATACAGTAAATAGGAAAAGTGGCTTTTTGGAGTTAAGGTGGAAAACGCTATTGTATGATATGTTACGAAGCTGAGCTTTGATGAAAGCAGGCACTTGAACAAATTTCTCAGTACTTCACATGTAAGCCTTAGCAGATCTTAGACACAGATTTAGATTTTATGTCTAAGTAGCCAAAACTGCATTGCCATGAATTACGAGAATTTCTGTGCAGCAGGACGAGCATCTGCTTCTCTGCATGATATTACAGATCAATATCGATGCAATTGCAGATGGAAGGAAACAATGCAACTCATCCCACATGGCCCAAGTAGGAAGGATTTGGAGATAATATTACTTACCTAAAACTTTTTAGAGCATTTAGCATGAAAGAATTAAGAGAACCAAATAATACAGAAGATGCTAAAGGTCCTTTCTGAAAGGATGGACAACACCAACAAAGCTGTTCTCATCAGTGCATCCTCAACAGCTCAGAGATGAAAACAGCTGGCCAGATTTATCTCAGCTGGGGAGAACAACTTCAGGGGTGACAACATGCTGTCCCCAAGGGGATAATCTACAGCTGCACCTTTTCCTAAGAGAGGCTGGCTTCAGTACCTTCTGGGGCAGATTCTGGGTGACACATCCCTACTCCACACCTACAGAATAGTTCTTGGTTCTTTTATGTCAAACCCTGGAGGACGATATATAAGAGGCACAGAAATGGCTTGGCTCTCTTCAAGCAAGCAGCAGATGTCTTTATGCATGAGCAGTGTGTGGGAGACACTCTCCAGCAGGTCACAGTGCCACAGGGTCTGGCTTCATGAAATTAGAGATTGGATCCAGACATTAGAAACAACACGTGTCACTCAACAAGCAGTGCACTAGCTGCCAGACCAGCTCTAAGGCCATTTTTCATGATCGTGGGTCTTATGTTCAAAATCCGACCTCCTCCCGCACTTCAGTGTCACCATCATGTTCCTTTGTAATATTCAACCATCACTGCAAATGCCTCTAACTGGGAAGTGTTAAGAGTACGCTCATCTAGTACCTACTCACTGGAATTTGCCACACTGACACTGGAATAAGCCATGATTGGCACTGCACCCTCAGCTAACACCCAATGAAAAGCTTAGCTATTCAATATTTTCTGCCATGTGTCCTTTGAAAAAGCCACCACTGAGTCACCCATTTCTTCAGAAACAAAGAAGCAAGAAGGTGATTTTCCCCTCCAAATGAAGGGAATTCTGGAGTGTGAGACGCTTAGAAGGCTGCACAATAATTGCAATGACATCTAGTAGTGCATAAAGAACTAATAATGACTCTTGAGTTGCATCACTGTAATTTCTGCAAGAGTCATGTCTCAGGTTAAGGCTTCCTGGCAAAATTTCACTCAATAAAGACAACTGGGAGAGCTGGACTGCAGGGGGTTTTTGTCCTGTATTACTAATTGCATTCCCTTGGGCAGTGGAAGAACTCAGAGAAGAGTGCTAAAAGGTTTCTCAAGCACAGCACAGGCTGGGGAGGCAGTTTAAGACATGACATCAAAACCTCCGTGCTTTACATCCCACTGCAGTCACAATAATTGGCCTTCCACATCTTTCTCGGACATGAACCCTTGTCAGACACATCTATGGTTCACATTTCAGTTGATCTCTTAACTCCACATTTTCACTCTTCATGGTAACATCCCGCTACCAAGTTTTGTTTGATGATCTCCATACCTTACCTGTTTGTGTTCTCCAGGACTTCAACCTTCTTACGCAGCTCACTGTTTTCATTTGAGCAGGTCTCAACTCTGGAGACAGCACAATGAAAGAGAAATATAAAAACATCCGTTATTTATTCAAGGGATTGTAAAACAAGCCAAACTGGCTTTCTCTGGGAGCTTCTCTATGATCTTGCCTACATTTAAAGAAACATTACACCTATGAACTTTAGTCGTAATATTTAATCACACTTCATTGTGTGAAACACACAGCACAAGTTAAATTACCTGACTGGCAAATGCTACGCTTCTGAAATCAGAGCCTCAAATTACAAGTTGATGAGGACTAATAAGCCACAAGATTAAAAACAGTGCTAAAGACTGTCCCAAGATACTACCCGTTTCCAAACTGTCCCTAGAAATCCCCAAACTAAAGGGGACTGCCATATAACGTGTAAGAGGGCTGAGTAAAATATGTGACTCCTAAGAAGACAAACAGGACTATCCCAAATAGCTTCGAGAAGAAAAAAGGGAAAAGGAAATAGCCTTGATTTCTGCGATGCAGGAGGTGGAACTTCAGAAGAGTAACTCTGAGGAAGTGAGACAGAGCTATAAAGAGATAAGAAGAAAGATGGAAATTGCTTCAAGGATAGATGGTACAAGGGTTTTAACAGAACCATCTGATGAATTGCATAAGACTAATACTAGAATATTCATCTCCTGGAAGAAATATTAATTTGGGATACAAATCACTCACTGGATTCCTGCTTGCTAAGGGAAGTCGATAAGCCATATGCTATTTTCCCGCGTCCTGCTTATTTTCCCAGGCAGTCTTGACTCACCCACTTCCTATTTCTGTCTTCATCTGCACTAGAAGACAGAATTTACTCACTCTGGATCCACCTTTCCCTAAGCACTGCCTGTCCACTAGGCCAAGCCAGTTGCCTGAGGCAAAGGCTGGGTCTTTTAGGCAAAGGCTGCCTAATTTAAGGTGCAAAGTGTTTCCTGGCACGTTAGCGACCTCCTGCAGGCGGGCACAGTCCCGACTCCGACAAGCAGCTGCCAGGAGCAAGGCCTTTTCTCAGTCACTGCCACGAGATGGCAGCTGGAACTCTGTGCATGGAACTGTCCCAGCAGCCACAGCTGGATCCCTTCCCAGTCCCACAGCTAGTACTATTGGCCTGCTTGAAACAGGAAGGAAGCTGGCTTACTTTTTTTCCAGACTGTCCATGTATTCTTTCTTTTTTCTTCTACTTTCCTGGGCAGAGATCTAAGGAAAAAGGAGGAAAAACAACAAATATTTGCACAGAAAACAAAAGCATCAGAGACAAATTAATAAACTGCTAAAAAACCCCAGTGTTATCAGATTCAAGCTTCTGTCTTGTTCTCATTTCTATTACTGGCAAGCAAAGCACTGACTTGATCTATTTCCACATTCTGAAGCAAGACTCCTCCTTTCAATCACACAAAAAAGACCATCCCCTGCTAACCTTAAAAAGTAAATCAGATTCATCTGGAGAGGATACCCTAGGACAAATACCAAAAGATGATCCCAGGACGACGTCCTGCATCTGGGACAGAAAAAGCCCATTAATGTATTCAAAAGGATTTGCGGACAAGGACATGGGGTCCTGATGAACAAGTCAAACATCTGTTAGCAGCGTGCCCCTGTTGGAAAAGCAGACAACCAAACATGGGTCTGCATCAATGAGACTGCAGTAAGCAGCTCCAGAGGAGTGGTTCTTACCCTTCTGTTCAGTGGCTGCAGAACCACAGTTGAGTACAGCAGTGCAGTCCAGGGCTCAGAAATAAACCCTCTGGATGTACAGAAGCAAGCCCAGAGGCAGATCTCTGCTACAATAAGCATGCCAGGACAAGAAGGGAATCCTATTACTCTCTTCAACTATCTCACGCAGCAAAGATGATGTCAGAGCTCCCAGGGGCACACAGCAAAATGGCAAGAGGCATCAAATACAAGTTGCACCAAAGGAAGTTCCAATCACACATTAGGGATTCTATTTATTTGCTTTTAGCACAAGAGTGGCCTCATATGGGAACATGGCTCCCAGTGACACAGGGGACTCATCACCCCTTGGGACAGTAAAACCTGACTGGACAAGACCCTGAGCAACCTACTCTAAGCTGACCCTGCTTTCTAGGCCAGGGCTTTGACCAAAGGACCTCCAGATTTCTCCTCAATATAAATGACTCTGATTCTACGTAATTGGTACATGAAATACACAAGATCACCTCAGAAAATTTTGAAAAAGCACATTACAAGACCAAATTCCAATTTAGTGTGTCCAAATTTGCACCTATATCTGCAAAACCAGTAGCAGAACATAGTAACCACAAAAGACACGCTAAAATCCTTTAGAAAACGGAGTTGGCCAAGTCTGAAAAAAATTGCATTCTTCCCTAGGATCTTCCTCATGCCAGAAGAAAAAAAATAAATTTAAAAAAATACTTGCGGGGCATTTGGTATCCTTGGTATCTACTTTACAAGTCACTGAATTCAGTGATCAAAAGACTAGTGCACTGAAAGACACAGTCATATTTTAAAGCAGGTAACAGAAAACACCTTCCTCACCATGCAAAGAATACAGAGCTCTTTGCCTACCATAAGGGTAGGATTGTACTGATTTTTAAATGGAGCCAAGCCACAGCAGCTTGATACCCTGCCTGCTAAATACTCCATTGTTAATGGGGTCAGGTAAATACCTACTCTGAGGCACACTCACACTGACAGACAATTTGATGGATGTGTTTAGGAACAAAGTAAAGCACTTTGTTTTCTAAAAGGCAACTTACAGTGCTGAACAGTACCACAGACCATTACTGCAGAATGCAGCCGCATTTTTTAAAATGAAGGACAAGTAGGAACCACCCAGCAAAGCTAACTGACATTTACCTTGTTTTTTATTTTCCTGCGGATTTTTTTTAGAACTTTCTCTTCCGCTTTTGTCAGGGGCAGTTTGGTAGGGATTGGGTAGCCCTCTGCTATCAGCGTCCTCTTCTCTTCTTCTGTCAGGATGAGGGGGCCAGTCCCCTGTAATTTCTTCAAGGGTCATAGAAATGAAATAAAATAAAACAGGAAGTGCACACAGTCCTAGAAGAAAAGGTTGTTAAAGAGGAGAGGCAGCAGGTCTTTCACTTCAGAGAGGACTAGGCCTACTGGAACAGCCTCCTGCAATTGGGAATGTGTGGAAAACCTTTCAGGTACCTTCCATTCAGAGTTCGAACCTTTGGGACAAGTTTTCCCTGAAAACAGTTGCTCTTGGCCCAGCTCTGTACACACTGAGGCCAACAGTAGAACTGCCTTTGGCTCAAACAGGGAAAAAGACATATGAGAAACACTACTGAAAATCCCTCCCTAAAGATCACCACTTGCTAATGATGTGACAAGAGGACAGATGCAGATCTACCATATACAGGTCAACCCAGCAGGGCTGGGCTCTAAGGCAAAACACAAGTCCATGATGGGATAAACCTAATAACACCAGTGAACCCTGTACCAACTTAGAGGAGAGGCACACGCTGTTCCCTGTGGGAACAGAACAGACCAGTGAGCAAGAATTACTGGATCTGCAGTTTTGACCAGAGATTAATTCATTGAAACAACAACAGAAAGTAGGCAAATCTCTGTCAATTAAAAAAAAAAAAAAAAAAAAAAAAAAAAGACACAGATAAATGGCGGAGGAAAGGCAGCTCAACTTACATGTGGTGCAGTCAGGAGAGGGGAATTGGAGAGCACTGAAGCTGTGCGCGACACAACCTTAGTCGTGGCCTGGAGCTGCACTGGGCTGGAAGGAGGGAGTGATCGAGCTGGGCTCTGTGCCCCTTCGGAATCACTGTCATGGCTGCTCGGAGGGGTGGGAGGCAAGTGCAGGGGATCCACTGCTAAATGGCAAGAGAGACAAAGTAACACAAGGGTTTAAGGTGTTGATTTAAATTGCCACTACAGCTGCCACCACCACAGTTTCCAAAACTAGGAGTGTCTGCTAAAAAATGGATCAAGCAAGAGTGGCAACTTGGAAGAGGTTTGGAGCACGCAGGTCTCCAAAGAAGGAATGAAATGCAGCAGCTATCTTTAGGTTTGACAGACAAAACAGGGCTCTGTGCATATGCTCCAGTCACGTCTACCTACACTCCAGCTCCATCTTCAAATGCTTTGAGGCTCATGTATAATGCACAGTACAAGTTCCCTCTTCCTGGGAAACCACATTAACAGAGGGGCTCTGAGCCAGCATACTTTCTCTCCGAAAACAATAGTATTTTCTAACTTTGCCATGGATTAAACAATTTCCCAGTATTTGCAAGGGAAGGGATCCCATCCAAGGAGTCATATCATCAGGAAGAAGAGAAAGGTCTCCTAAGGATGTGATTTGGCACAGCTGAGAAGTGACTGACAGCCTAGTGACAGCAAAGGCTGCAATGCACAGATCCAGCAGGAGCAGCACAGGCAGCCACCACAGGAGCCTCTCTCACACTGTCTATCCAGGGCCATAAGATAACCTCAACTGCAGCCAAAAGAACCTGCTCTAGAATTGTCAGAGTGCTGCTTACGATCAAATGGGTCTGGTCTGAGAGAAATGGGGCACATCTCACCTCTCTCATTAAATGGACAATTTAGCAGCTGCTCAAAACAGCCGTAACTAAGTCACTTTCTCTCTGAGCTAAATTTACAGGAATTGAATTTTGAACTAGGAAGATACAGGGCTAATTTCCCACCTTCCACCTCCGTTATGCTCTGCAAATTTGAGTTGAAAAGATCAAATGGGTGGTGAGGGAGGATGGAAGAAAAATAGTAATAAAAACACCTATAATACTCTTTTTGTCTCACATGCTAGCTCTTGCAGTTGCCAGAAGAAGAAACATATTTGAAAAACCGAAAGGCCCTTAATCCCATAAAGTGAGCAAACAAATCTACACCTGAGTTGAGATACAGCCTCCCTTTATCCACCTGCTACATCATTTGCTTGTCTCCCTAGAGCTTCCTACTACTTACCTACAGAAATGAATTCACTAACAGAATATCAAGTGTTTCTAATTGAAATGCAGTTCTCTGCTCAGATTTCACGCCTAATTTTTGGCTCTTCCAAAGTGTTCTTGGCTTTAATTGTGTTTAGCTTTCAGGGCAGGGATCTTTGCTCCTCCTTCCACATTGGAGTGTAGTAAAAAGACATAATGATTGTTCTTAAAACTAATATGCTACAAACAGATTCACCTAACTTTTATTCTCATATAAACTCACATCCTGCTTTTGCATCGGAGGTTAACAGTAAAGTTTCTCATACCTTAACTAAGTCTCCTCAAATTTATTTCTTTTCTATCCTAAATAATCCTGTACTTAATTAATTAAAGCTCCCTTCAGCACAATTATTAATACCCTGTACAGGAAAAGGGATCGTTTTCTTTGTGATGAAAAGGGTGGGGGGGAAGGGGGGGGGGAGAAAGAAAAAATAAAAAGCCTCACATAAAGGCTCAGAGAGACTCTGGCTCTTCAATAGCCTGAGTTGAATCCCTATAAAACAACTGCTTCAGCCTAAAAGCTAACATGGTGAATGAGAAATCCAAATATTTAATCAGGGTAAAGTACGTTTATTGTACTTTCTGTCCATCTCCCCCTATATGTTCATTTGGTAGTTAGCAGACCTTCCTTAGGAGAGAGGTTCAGGAACTGATCCACTTCATGGGGCTCCAATTTAATCTCTGGAAGAACTTTCTGGGTGAGTGGTTTCATCTAGAAAAGAGAAATTAAGAGCATGAAAACCTGGAGCACACATCTTAAAAATCTTAATAGAAGGACACAAGGATTACTTCTCCTTAAATGGAGAGGTTTCCTCTCCTCCTGTTCTGCCACAGGAAAAACTTTAACTGCTTCACACAGTTTGCTAAACCAGGCAACAGAGAATACTGCCCAGAGTACTCCCACTATGGCTCTTATTACTACTACTATATTTAGCTAAAATAAAAGATTACGTCTCACAGATGACATTTCAGACTGAAAGCTAACATGTAACCCACTCCAATTACTTCTCTAAGCAACAGAGCTGCTGCTAGGATTTGCTGGACTGCACAGTCTGTTTGAGTAAGGACAGAAACATCCCTGGGAGTCAGGGAGAGCCTGTTAAGGGCCATTGTCATTTGGGAGCAAGAGCAAGGTGCCAGCCACTGAGCACCAGGTTTTGGGACCCAAGTTCCTTTCACAGTGCTGAGGAGCAGGAAAAGAGACAGTCACTGCTGACTGAAGTTTGGAAGACACCTGGCTTGCCCCAGTGACAAGACTGGGGCACCAGGCTGCCAAGCTGCTGCCCAGAGCCTATCTGTGTGCTACAGCCCCAGGCCTGAGGAAGCCAGTCTGGCACTCCTGCAGGTTAATTGCAGCCAAAATCTCTCTCAGTAACCTGTGTAACTAATTCATGCAACAGCAGTGAGCCACCAGCAAGTCCCAATACTCTGCAAATCACAGCATCCCAAGCTACAGCAGGGCTACATCCTGGGAATAGCACGTTCAAGCTAGGACAAAATCATGGGAAACTTGTGCTTAGCTTTCTTCAGTTTCTCATAAAATAACTCCTGTTGCACATATTTCTGATCCACATACAAATGGAAACATGTATTTTCAGCATATATCAACTCCCTCCAGCCTGGACTGACATTGCATCCTGGGGGCTGACAACAGCCATGCTTCTTCTTCCACTGGCTGGGGACCCTGGTGAGCCACCAGCTGCTGCAGTTCATTCTCCTTTAACCCAGCCACAGCCAGACTAAGCTCTTCAGAATGCCCACTGGCTGCTCCAGCTGTGGTCAGAAATGCACCACAAAGCTCCATGTGAGGCTGGTTGGTGCAGAAGTAGCAGCAGCTTCAAATGTCAAAGCTTCACATATCTGGCAAAAGCAACTTCGCAGGCAAACAGAGAAACTCTCCAGTCAATCCAAACAAGGAGTCTTGTTCTGCTTAGGGGAAGGCAGGGCAGCACTAAAGTAAATTCTTATGAAAGACACTTAGCTTGTCACAGGCTTGATAGAGCAAATGGATTAGTCGGTTCAGGTGCAACTGGTTCATTAGAAACTATTCAAACATTTCTACAAGTCCAAGAGCCCCGGGCTTTGGGCTAGCACAGAAGACAAAATTGTATATCCAATCATTAAAAGCTAAAGATGCAGACAAGTGTTTTGAAACATAAGCTCTTACAGCAACAGTGGGACACCAGCAAACATTAAAAACCATTAAAGCAGACTGCAGTGTGCACCCTGAACTGCCAAGCTCTGGTACCAAGGAGGCTACACTGGTATACAGCCTTGGGAGAAGCTGCAGCCAATTGTGCAGAGAGAACAGAGAGTCTGCAGTACCAGGGCATCTATCTGTAGTTCAGGCTGGTCCCCCTCCACCGACGTGGCTGTGACGGTGAGACTGACTGAGGGAGCAAGGCCTGATGTCTCACACAGCCCTGGCTCAGTCTTTATTGCAGCTGGAGTAAACTCTGTAGCCAGACACCATTCCTCATTTTCCAGGTCACCTGCCAGGGAAGGAAATTGGACACCACATGTTTAGATCAGAAACAGAAAGACTACAAACAAAAATAATGTCATTCCTTCTCCAGAGAAGGGAAACAAACACAGAAGACATTTCAGTCTATCAACAAAACTCCGTCCTTACTATTCAGCTCTCAGTCAATGCAGACAACCATGACATTTCAGGGCTGTAACCTAATCCTAGCCCCAAGGTCCACAGAGGAGCAGCAAAGAAAAACGCAGGGCACTAATCACTGTGCATTGCTGAAAGCTGCTAATGCGTAGCAGAACAAGACTAAACAAACCACTGGGTAAAGCAGCCAGGGAGCCGTGTCTTAAACAGGCTAGTGCCTGCTGAATCAGTTTTATTCCTCCTAGAGATAGCCTTTAGCCAGACTTCTGCTTCTTCTACTGCTTGTAGGCAGCCAATAGCTCAAAGGGTGAGATTATACTTTTAAGAACAAAGTATTTGTCACACCCATAACTTCAATTTTTTTCCCCAAGGATTCATTTAGTATATGCAAAAGAGGATATAGGCTTTGATGATTTCACAGGAGCACCAGTGCCACGGTCATCATGCTAATTTCCTTCACAGACCCTCTGGGAAGTCACAGCACAGGATGCATATTTTATCTGATAGCAATGAAACATGCATCACGTGTTGGCAGAATTATCCTCTAACTCCACTTACTGAAAGCTCGCTACTCAAGAGAAAGCCATGCAACCTTTTTCTAGACAAAGCTGAAGGGTTTGCCCAGCATTGTCAAGAACTGGAAGAAGGTCAGCATGGTAAGTTTAGCTCCCCGTTTCCATTCCATTTTTTGCTGAAAAAGGACTTACTTTCCCAGGTCTGAAGTATAACGGAGGACTGAGAACTTGGAAAGACTCAACCTTTGAAACAATTCCACAAAGCTATTAACAACCCCCTTTAAAAATACAAAATAATCAAATGCATTTTTGTCAATTGCAATTCTGCCTTAGAAAACTTCCTATTCCAACTGAAAGACTTTAATCTTTCCTCTTGCAGGAGAACATCCTATATTAGGGGCACTGCATCCCAACTGCATGTGGCACAGCCCTCATAGCCTACTGAGCAGTAGTTGTGAGAGGCGTATCCATTAAATAGAGCAACTGGAATCTGAAGGCAAATATACATGAAAGATAAAAGAGTGCTGATCTTTCTTTCAAAGCTTTCTACTGCCTCCAAACAGATTCTTTACTGCATATATGAAAGTTAGAGAGGGAGAGAGTGGGGCTGGTAAAAACAACAGAGTTTTGAATTAACTGCGTGCTGCACCAACGTCCTGGGAGGCATCCATGGGGTTGTGGCTGTGCCACCAGCATTCTGCAAGGCTACACAAGACCCTCCATTCACAGCTGAGTGTATCAAGACGGTGGGATGTCAACAGAGTTCAGCTGCAAACAGGTAACAAAAACAAGAGTAGGCTTACAGCCTCTGTGCTGCTGTGCGTCTTTGCTATTAAGACCACACAGGCACTGGGCAGAAGCTGGGCGCCTGGAAGAAGAATGTACATCTCCAGTGCTAGAAATTACTTTGTGGTGGGACCTAACCTCCGCCACTGGCAAGGAAGGAGGTAATTTAAGTAAACACATATCGAGGAATTAAAAATGAAAAATACATATCCTGTAATCAGAAGCTCAAGAACACCAAGGCCAGCAGCTCTGCCAGAGTTAATGGCAGAGCAAGGACTAGACACCATATTTAAGTTTCTGGAGAGCTTACTCCCAAAGCTTCCTGGGAAGTACAAAAATGCAAAAATAGGAATCTTTATGGGAAAAAAATAGGTAGGGTTGTCTAAATATTAACTCAGGAGAGAGGACATTGCTCTTTTTCAACCCTCTCTGAGCCTCTCTATTCACAAACACAAAAGCGCAGCTCCCTCCCAGCTTACTGTGCATGCATCATTCAGGTAAAACCTTTAAAACGGTAGCTGCCTGGAAATCCAGAATCCCTTGGCAAATACAACTTTCAAATGCCCGTTTTGACAACTTATGTCAAAACTGGCCCCACATCACCTTGTGCAGAGCCTCCCTTTGCTGCCCCTTGCACCTCTGGGTCGAGGTACCCCTGGGGTAGCATATTATGAAAGCCATGGATAAATGAGAGCTATTAGTGAAGCCAGTAATTAGCCCTTAATTGTCTCAAATTGCTATCAGCATCTAAGTGGAAGGGAAATCAAGCCATGGGTGACCAGCAAAATAGGGCATGGCCTCTAAGGCTGCACTTCATGATTTTTATCACCTCTAAATCCCAGACTCATGATGAATATTCAGCTGCTCTAAGACAGTAAGATATGCTGACCTTTGGCTGGTCATTTCACTCCTCTGGAATCCATCATTTTATTCCTCTGGAAGCCGACATTGGTGATTAACCTGACATCCCTTCCATCACCACTTAGATCTGCATAAACTACTCAGAGTTATTCTAGGCTTTAAGCCAGTCTAACCAGTTTGTAGTGTTACAGATGGTTTTCAGCGACAGCAACATACTGCACTTAGCACTGAGAATTCTGAAGAACTGCATCTGACACTTTTTTAACACTGCCTCTTACAATGCATAGTGACAACTGTCATTCCAGATGAACAATACTCTGAAAGGAAGGGATGAAGGACTGGGCAAATCTCACCTGGATACTCTCCAAGTCACTGTTACAAATTCCCTACCAGGATCAGGGAGTATTGTGCTACTAGTTACTTTCTTTTGACACATTCTAGCTTCTCGAGTCACCAAAAATCCCTCCTCTGCTCCAAGGGACCTGCAAGGACATTTCCCACTCTCCTTTTTCCTCTTCCTGAGCACAGCCGGTTGAAAGTATCTGAAAATCATTCTTAGTTTACTCTTATAATAGTTCCTTAGCATCTTAGTGTACTCTGCCAAGCACTGTACTAGCACAGCAAAGTGGCAACCCTTCTCCCAAAACCAATGAGAATAAAATACAAAATCAGAAAAACTAAGGCAAAGAGCAAAAATGCAGCAGGCTAATAGATCAGTGGTCATAAAGAGAGGTATGGCACACCCTCCAAGACAAGAGTATTTCTGATAGAGGATTACAGAGAATCATGAGAGAGGTTTCAAGAAATAACGAGAACAAACAGAAGTGTTGCATGTGAAATATTGAAATTAAAAGGACAACAGGGGCTGGCTCAAGAGACCCACTGGAGGAAAAGGGAGGTAGGCGTCTTCTCCAAACCAAGCAAGAAATGCTGTGGTAGGAGTAAATGACTGGTGTCAAGAAGTTAGAGGTGTTTATTTTTATATTTGGCATGATCCATGAGGTACACATGAACTTTTGTGCCACAGTCCAAAACATGAAGCTGAGAGTATAATCTTCATGATGATATGAATTCTAGACAAATATGAATAGGGCAACACTTCATCCTCAAAATATGCTAAAAGTCATTCAGATAGAGAGAGAAGAAAGTCTCAACAAGAGATTTAGTTCTCCAAATGGCTAAGAAAATACACATCCTAAGTACTGTCACTTTGGCTCTCTTGAAAAATCTCTTCTCAGGCTTCAAAACAGTTCACTGTTGAATAAGAGATCCTGGCTGTCAGTTCCCTCCCCAGCTGAAATTTTCTACAAACCTCAGAACTCTATCATGCAACGACTGCTTAGATGATCAGCATTCCCCTTTACCTACACTTTCATCAGTCCATGAATGCTAGGCATTTTGGCACATGAACATGTTATTTAGGGAGTCCACACAGTACTTAGCAAAATCCCAGCCAATACCTCTACGTGCAACACACTAGTGCTGGTAAATTGCACACGTGAACTGAACCTTCAGGTTGCAAAGAACTCAGGTATTAAGAAATACGTATGAATGTTTAACTCAGTGTCCTCTTGCATATCATATACACCTAAAAATAGGAATGTTTTAATAACATGACCAAACAATTTCTTTACAGAGCCCATGCTATATCCAACAAGCAGAATGCATGCTGCTTCACTAATTGAGAAGATATTCCATGTTTTGTTCTTTGCACTGTCTCATGCATAGCCTCACCTCTCCTTTAGCAAATACAATTCAAATTTGGTTCCCACAGGACTATTTAATTCCCTCCTAGGGAAAAGCTCCACAACCTGAATTCAATTTCACAGTGGTGCTCAAAATTCAAGTGAGACATGGAAAGACTAAGGCAAAAAAGAAACTAGTAATTTAAAATGGCCAACTGGAGACAACTAGAATAGGATTTTTCAGATGATTTAGCCCTATTATTAAACTTGATCAAAATCCAGCATGCACTGAGCTTTCAGGTTGGGCTGTGAGCATCTACCACTGCTGCAAGTTAAACATCAGAGTTTCAACTCAGGCACCCAAAAAAACCATTCATCACAGCCACCCAGGGTTTGTGACACATGCACCTAAGATCTCCTGTGTCCAAGACTAAAATTACATTTCTTCAGAAAGCTTTTGTGTGCATCTGTCATCTAGCTTGTGTCTCTTCTCCCACAGACTTGTTTAGCACACATCTTCTACAGCACATTACACTGTGATGATGATTGCCAACAGAGATAGGCTCCTCCAAGCATCACAGCTGTACTCAGTGTGCATGATTTAGGCACACATGAAAAATGTACAATCAACAACAGCTGTGTTTTTACATGTCATAATTAATATATACCATTTCTGTGTTTATAAAAAACATTTTTAATGTATCTGTATTTATACCCAGATATAAAAAATTCTATAAAAAATTCATAGTCTTTTAATAAGACCATGTGCAGCTTTCTAGGATATTTGTATCTCTCAGAAGAACTGCAACATTTTGCCTCTTTTTTTGTTCCATGGACATGTTATAGAAAAGGCAGGGTAGGAAAAGTGGAACACAAAGTCAAAAATGCTTACTCCAACTGTACAGTTTTTCTAATATCAGAGTTCCCAGAAAGTTTTGCTCTCCCTTTTTTATTTCTATCCAACTACTTCTTCAATCTTGTCCAACATACCACCTCCTTTGCTGTGAGAAAGTAGATCGTCTCCA